CTCTCTCTCTCTCTCTCTCTCTCTAATTGACGGTGAATTTGCCCCCCACCCCGTACCCGCCTTCGGGTTTTTAAACATGCTTTTCAGACTCTCGTATGGATGTCGGTCGAGAGCCGCCTCGCCCACGCCTATCTCTCGAAACAGCACCTCATTCGCACCAAGTGGATCGAAGCACACCTCGGCGACTTGGACGCCGGGCGTCTCGGAACACCGTGCCGGCCACCTGTTATGACGGTATCTAAGCTGTTTTTTACTAGCCCTAAGGGGCAAACTTTGAAACTGAAAACTCAACTCTAGCTCTAACATACAAAATGTAACGATTTTTCGACGAAACGTGCCGATTGTCTAGCAAAATTATGCCTAACGAAAATTTTCGAATGTTTCGGTTGCATTGTCACTCGCGATATCATCACATTTTGAAAAAAAAACAATCTTAAAACGCTTCCGATATAGTTATTAAGCATTTCTGGTCCCCCCCCCCCCCACCTGCTCCCATCCACACGAATGTTTTCAGATCACCGAGCCGACCCCGAACAAGGAATTCCAACAAGCGCTCAGTGACGATCAGCTTCTGAGCATCACCCTCGCCTACCAAACCGCCCAGGATTTCGACGGCCTCCCGATGAACGCTCTTCATGAGGTGAAATCTGAGCGGAATTGGCGGTTGGGCGGCTAGCAGAGATCATTGAGGATGAGAGGACAAGGGGGGGACAGCCTAGCAGAGATCGGTGAGGATTAGGATTTTCTAAAGGTATAACACACGATTTTTAAACACACATTGGATGGTATTGTATTTGTGATTTATAGAGGTTGAACGTTTGGGAGAACATTGATAGACCCGCCCTGATCGCGAACATTGACTCACTGAAGACCGAACTGGACGAGCTGTACACCGACTTTCTAAAAGAGGTATGGGATATAACCATTATTGATGGTTATTTTTATAGTATAGAGTTAGAGTATAGAAAATGTACTTCTAGTTTTAATTACAAGGCAATTTGATATATATATATATATATATATATATATATATATATATATATATATATATATATATATATATATATATATATATATATATATATATATATAAAATTGCATGGGGCAAAAAAGCCTGAACATCTTAAGCCTTAAGTTAATTTTGAAATTGTTAATATTAAAAAAGGAGATTTGGGCCGGGACTTAGGCCTCTCCATTTGTTTAGTAGGGGTAGAGTAAACTCGTCCCAGGGAAAAACTGTTATTTTATTCTAGGTCAACGACAAAACCACTGCGTGGAGGGCGATCAAGACGGCCGTGGAAGCCCTAGAATCTGACAAAAAGCAAATCTGTTGCGAGCTGTCGCAGCCGAACATCTACCTCCCGCTTAACATGCAAGTAAGCGGTACAGGTACACTAGCAGTTTTTCGTAGCGTCTCATTTTTTAAGCTGTTTTTACGGTTTCAAGGCGCCAAACTTTTAAAAGTTACGATTCGGCTTAGCTTAAGCCTGGCTTAGGTTTAACCCCGGGCTTATCTTAGACCTAACTTAGGTTTAGCTTGTGCTTAGCTTAGGCTTAGCTTAGGTTTAGCCCCGGCTTAGGTCAGGCCTGGCCGGGGCCTAGCTTAGCTGAACCATTGACGACCCATTTACATTTACTCTTTGCAGACGTATCCCCCGGTTATTGGTGTCACTGCGGATGGCCGATTGGAGACTGGTGCTGCGACTGGCAGCGACGAGATGAAGGCGCACATCGACCGGCAAGAGCAGGAACCGGAGCAGGATGCGCCAGATACTGATGAGGTGTGAAGGTCTCGAGAAGCAACATCCCCAGCCCGCAAGCACTACCCACCGAACAAGCACCGTCTTTCCCCGATTTTCGTCCTGTCTCTCTCTCCCTCACTTGCCCACCCCATCTGTCCGTCTCTGGGGCTTTCGCCGAACCATGCGCTAATGTACCAACCGCCTTCCTGACTTTTGTTCATGTTCGTGGCTTTTTGATGGGAGAACTCCCAGAGACGGTCCAGAATGGTGTCCCTTGCCCTTCCTGTCTTGTGTGCGCTTTTATTATTGACTAACATCTCTGTTTACTTCTGACTAACAAGTTTTGTATTACACTTGCTTCGCGTTTCTTTGAATAAATGGATTTTGGAGGGGCCCAGAAGCCCAGGGATTTTTTTGGCTTTGGCCTAGCGATGTGACCACGCGAAGGCGGCGAGATTCTCTCAATGGTAGAATCTTTATCGCACGCACAGAACAATAAATTCCGAATAAAAGGTAAAGAAAATCAGAATCTGAATTGGGGTGTGGAGGTGGATGGGGAGGGGAGGTATTGATGAACACAGAAAATCTTTGTAGACGCTACAAAAAAAGGTATGTTTCTCGAAATGGACACGCATTCGGTGGATTCACGGGGCCAAAAATATGGGGGCGGACGGTAAGAAATGCACCAGATGGATTGTAGGAAAATAAGATGAAACACAAAATTAAACTATTTTCTAACCCTAAAATTGAATTTATTGTAAAATGTTTCAGATTTAAAATATTAGAAAATTCGCGGGGTAGCTGTAATATTTAGCGAAGTTCAGAGCTTAATAAAAATAAAATGTTCACGGGTTCGGGGGCAGAAATGGGGCTACAAACTTCAACATGGCCAGACAGACAGCAGCACACAGCGCCTACCGTAGGGAACTACTACCGTACTACCGTACGTTGTATTGTTGCGGAAGAGAGATAGAGAGAGAGCGAGAGAGAGAGAGAAACAGAGAGAGAGAAACAGAGAGAGTGAGAGAGAGCGAGACTACGGTACCGGCAAGACACGCACAGGCTAACTAAAAAAACTCAAAAATGACAAAAACAAAAAAAAAACAGAAAAATCGGGGCGCGTTGTTGTGGGCGAGAGATCGTTGTGTCTGTGTTGTATGGCTTGGGGGGGGCTACTGTAGGTAGAAATCTGTGCCTAAGAGGAATTACGCGAAATTACGCATTTTAAGGACCATTGAAGCCAAAAATCGGTAGAAAAATGTAATTTTTCGACTTTTTGTTTTCTAATCATTTGATGCTCCTTTAAAAAGCATAAAATTCCGCTGTAATCCGCTGGATACGGTAAAAATACGGAAAACGCAAAATACGGCCGATCACAACATGGACTACGGGGGAATTTGATTTTTTCGAAATTTCAGGACCGGATTCAAATTATATTTTGAATTGCATAAATTAAGTTATCTGATTGTCGATTTAATAAAATTAAAAGTTAAAAGATTATAATTAAAATTAAAAGTACAATTAAAATTGATTTTCCAACATTTTGAAAAACATGTTTCAAAAAATGATTGGTTCCACGAGCCCAAAACCATGAATTCGGCGCTTTTTTTTACTCAAACATGCTAATTTAATTCGGTCCCAAAATCGCCAAAAAATCGCGTTATTTAGGGAATACGGTGGGTGTTGGGTACGGTATGCCCCCAGGGCATTTGCTGCCTACAGTAGTCGCTCGTCGGGTTCCATCCGTCCGGAGTATACAGCGGAGTCATCGGCTGCATAAACGGGGAACCTGAAAAATATACTAATTCCGTGATAAAAAAATTATATAAATTTTTCAGTTTACAAATGTTAGCTGAAAATACAAAAATATAGATTTTTGACAATAAATGCAGATTTTTCGAGCAGATTTGGAGTTTTGACAATGTGTTAGAGTTTTTAGATCGTTTTGCACTTCCAATATCGAGTTAAATTTTAGTAAAAACTATTAAAATTACGAATGCTTTATTTTAGATAAAAAGAGCATCTTTTCCTGGTTAAACCACCCCGCCCCACCGATAATGTAAAAGCTCCTTCAAAAAAGCCAATCCCGGTTACCATTTTGCGATTGCGGCACGTAGTTGTGATGGGTAGTCGGCTGGTGTTCGGTGGAAATTGGGGGGAAGGGGCGGGGCCTCGTAGTACGCGCCGCTACGCTTCGCACGCAGAGGGTCGTCGATGGGGGCGGAGCCTAAGAAATTGATTGGATTAACTTAATAATTTTACATACCTATTAAAGGTGGTTGTGCAGATCCGGGCCTGCCAGCCGATTCGATAGCTGTATTTTGTGATGTCCAATCGGGTAGATCGGGAAATAATGTCTGAAAATCTGTGGCCACAGAATCGGAGATTGGCTGCAGTTCTTCTTGGGGGACAAATGGGGCAACGCTGTGAAGGTCTTCGAACGGGAAATCTGAAAAAGATGGCGTTATGATGGCGTTATTTTAAATCATTTAATAAATAAATTAATTTTTACTTTAACTTTAAATTAAAATTTAATTTTATTTCATTAATTTAATTTTAATTCAAAAAGGATTCATAATTAAGTTTTGCGCAGGCGACGCATTGACATGTTATTGATGAATGTTTTTGAAAATTTTTGAAACTTTGAAATTGAATGAAATTTAGACCAGAAATTTGTGATTGCTTTTTTTTTAATTGGATTTACTTAAAGATATATCAATTTTATCAAATAAAACGTGAAAAATTTTGGACATTCTACTTGCTTTTGTTTTTGCATTTTACTAAAAATTGCCGGGGGCCTAATTTAATGGCAAAATTAAAAAAAGTTAAACAGGGGAAAATTTAATGAAATTTAAGCAGCGTGCTTAAAAGTTTAAAGTTGTCATAATCATAGTTGCAAAAAAAAGTGTTTCCAATTTCCCTAAAAAGTTGCGTTTTAATGTATGGTAATTGGCAACTTACCGAGATCCTCGAGCGCCTTGTTGATGAGTAGTTGTGAGGGTATATAGGTGTTTAATGGAGTGGCAGCTGTGTTCTCTGCCCTCCCATTAATGCGTTCATCACCGGCAATAGGCATAATGGGGAGCAGGGACCGGCGTTGCTCACGGGGCGGCAATGGCTCAACATCTGCAATAAGTATGTATATCTTTATAGGGATTTGAAAAATCTATATAATTTTTGGGGTATAGATTTTGCCTTTAACGGTCCTTTAAAGCTTCATAGTTTATTCTACCGTATTTTATGGCATATACAAATATTTTATACATGTTTTGGGTGCGGGTTTTGTCTTTAATAGACATTTAAAGAATTTAGCTGATTATACCGTAACGTTGCGACTTCTTCGGTATGGATTTTGCATTTAATGGTCCTTTAAAAAGTGGCGCTGTAATCGACCGTCTGCCACTTTATTTTTGGCGTATAAAATGTAATCTATAGAATTCTTTGGCTATTTTTGTCTTCAATGCACCTTTAAAAAGCGAAATTTTCCGACCATTTATGTGATTTTTGACAAAAAGTTTCGACGTGCCAACGGGCAAACGGTAGCTTTAAACCGTAAAAACGGCATTCCATTCAAATTTTCCAGTTATAACTGTTTTTAAGCACATTGTGGCCGATTGGTAGTGTTTGCCTACCACCCTTATCACTGGGGTTCGATCTCCGCCGGTGCAGATTTTTTGCTTTTTGCTTTGTAATGACTTTTTAGGTGAAATAAAGCTTTTTTGTGGACGAACCATTTGATGGAATGGCGGGAAGACTTCGTGGGCCGTGTGTGGTTGCCATATCTCTCGAGGGTCCCGCTCCACCATGGCAGCCCTCCTGCAAATAGCGTAATTTTTTCCAAACAGTTTAGATGTCGGTTTAAAATTATAATAATTTAAGGCAGCTAGAACCGCAAAAAAAAACATTATTTTTGAAACGTTTACAACAAAAACAAGTTTACAATTTACAATTTCTTGTGTGAGGATCAGGCGGGAATACAAATTAGCCGTAAAAATTTCGAAACTTTAGGATTTTTCTTGAAACACACTTTTTTTACTGTAAAATTCTTACAAAATCATTAAGCTTCCTGTACGCTTAAATCTTTCGAAACTATTTTAAGTTGCATTTTAACTTTCGAAAATTTAATATAAACCTTTCTACGCTAAAATTTAAACCTAGAAACCCTAAAACTTGAAAACCAGAAAAAATACTGGATAAATGTTTCAACATTTCTCGTTTCAACGTAAGCTTTTTTAATGTTAATGCGTGAATATCGCCCTGATAGAAAATTCTGAATCACACCATTTTGACGATTATACTAATTTATTAACAATTTTTAGAAATCAATTCTACGCCAAAATATCGCTAAAACCGCTAAAACTATATTTATTTATCTATGGCTTACTACGAATTCTCTAGATTTAATATTGATGGTTGAAGACGTTGTTGTAATAACCACTCTCTCCCTGAAGGAATGTTCCACTGTATCCCCATACCGTAGTTTGTGGGTTGATAGGGGAGGGGGCAGAGGTTGGGGATCGAAGGGCGCATTGTGAAGAGAATCCATCTGCCAATGGTGAGAAGGGGACGACGCCACAATTACTGATGATGTCTCCTGGAAACGTTCATTCATATTAATTCTTAGGTGTACCTGCGCAAAATTTAATTAGAGCAGAATGCTTGAATTTATGCCAATTTTACCGCCCAGAATGCTCAAAAAATTGGAAAAATAGGAATTAGATTTTCCATCAAAAAACAAGCCGCATTGCATGAAAAAGAAGTAACGAGTATCAACAATTTTTTGGAACATATTTATGATATATAAAAAAATAGTGTTTGTGTGTGTGTGTGTGCCACTTTGCATCCACTTCCGTCTGGCTGTCCAGAGGATATCTCAAGAACGGACGGATATTAGGCTACGTTCGATACGTCATTAGGTGCGCAATGGTCTAGGGATGACTGCACACATATCAGATTTTGAAAAATTAGCCATTTTCGCTATTAAATTTAGGTTTTGGTAAAAACCTCTTTGTTAGGAATAATTAGCATAGACCGGAAGTGGACGGTCATCTATATAAAAAGGCAGACGGGGTTGTTTTTCATTTTTTTGCCTTCTCAATGAGGACAATTATGCAAGGGCGGAATAGCTGGGGTCCAAGACGGGTCCAGGGTTGAAAAGTCGCGAAGCGGCTTTTCAACCCTGGTATTTTGAAAAAACTTGAAAAAAGTCTTAAATAAATAAATAAATGTTAAGAAATTAAAAAAAACGTTACCTCTTCTATCGGCCCTTCCAAAAGATTCGGTCCTTGGGCGGGACTGGGGCTCGGCGAAATCGTCGCCGCTTCGCGGGTGTTTTCTTCGGTTGGGGAGGATGGCTGGAAAATCAGGTTTTATGAAACATTATTTTTTTGCTTCTTAAGGAGTTTAAAAACTTACCTGCAGGTGCCATTTGACAGTTGCCAACGGAAATCGGCGGCCCATTCTCGTGTCCCTCTGAAAATACAATAATTTTATTGGGTTTTAATTTCTACTAATTTCCTCCAAGAATCGCTGCTAGCTTGCCCGTACATTAATTCCCAAATTAACCCTGCTAGCCTACCCCTTCACAATCTTAGACTATCTTTGCTAACCCGCTACCTAAACCTCCGAAAAAACCCTGCTAGTTTGCCGATACGTGCGTTAATGCCCAAATGATCTCCGCTAGCCTGCCCCCTCGGTTTCCCCAAATTCTCCCCGCTCTCTTGCCTCGATATGGCGGAGCCGGGCTGCTCGGGCGATCTCGAAATAGCCATTGCAGCACATCGTCGTAAGGTGTCTTCTCCGAGTCTGCAAGAATTCAATTAATTTGAAAAACATTGTTTGTATCGTAATTTTTAAATCTGTAAAAATTCCTATTTCGACAAGGACCCTAACACCAAAAATCAATAAAACATCCATTTTCAAGGAATAAGTATGAGACTGGACATAAGCGACAGAGTGTCTCCGGTGGCCGGGGGGTTAGCAAAATCCACACAAAACGACGCGACAATACGGGGTGTACGGTACGCTACGGATACTGTATGGTGGTGTATAACGGAATTGTTTCTACCTCAAAAAAGCGGGATTTCGAGAATTAATGTTGCGAAAAAATACGAGCTTTGATTCCAATTTGTAGTAATAATAGGCTATCCTTTAAGGTGAAGTTAATTGGCCATTGGACGTCCAAAAATCAAGGATTCCGTAATATCGTATCCAACCGTACACCCTACACAACATCAAATTACGACATGAAAATACGGTAGTACTCATCAAGGGTAGCACAAAATAGCACGGAGGGCAGAGGTATCGCCGAACTTGATTTTAAATTGTTATGTTATTTAAAGGGGGGTTAACGGGATTTTCCAGGAAAAGGCGATTTTTAATGACTGTATAGACTTGTGGGTTTACTTCAAAAAGACAATCAAAGCTAAACTAGTTACTTAAAATATTTCATTAATACTAAGTTTTGAGAAACATTTTCTAGTAAATTCGAAAACCTACTTAAACCTTCCTTTTTGGCGATTAAAATTGAATTTAAATAGTAAAAGTACACACGAAAAAGCGAGGCGCAACGCAATCGCCCCGCCTCCTAGTCATGGCTGAGCCTATCAAAAGATTTTAAAGAATTTTTTGAAAAAGAAATGTTTCAATAAAGTGTAAATATCTGACAAATATTCTTCGGATAATCCGTTCCAGTCCGGGGCTAGTGCATATATTGTCGATTTATAGAGGAGCAGGAGCAGAAATATCGGAGCTAGGAGCTGGAGCTAACTATCAAATTTCTACTACGTATACGCGGCCCGACTGTTTTTTTGTCCTACTTTTGCCGAATTAAATTTTTCAGGTTTCAACAAAATTTAGAGTTCTAAAAAGTGTCCAAAAATAATTTTTGCGAAAAACCGATCTTGCCGCCTTCCTGGAATATCCCATTTTAAAGGGACCGGGAAGTCAAGGCAAAATCTTGGCAAAGTGCCAAAAACCATTTCTGACTTTCCGGTCCCTTTAAACCCTGATAACCCAATTTTGACCTGTCTAAATTCGGAGACTTCATCCGGAATCTCGCGATGTCGATCTCGAAATGGGGCCGTCTCATCCAGAGCCAATTCCTCATCCTCATCCTCATGCTCATGCTCCCCCTGATACGGCGATACGGTAGCCGGGGCGACATTTAGATCATCCACCAGTCGCAGTCGGATGATTGGCCGTGGTGAGTGGGTGTTTTTCCGTTTGAATACGGGCCGCCCGGCCGGTTCGGGGGAATGTAGATAGTACTCAGGCGGAATTGGTGATTGTTGAGTGTTTGGATAGATGAGAAGAGGCACTGCACGATCCCAGCCATCCAATTCACAATCCCCATCGAATGGCAGGAGACCGGGGGTTGTTCGACCGTTTTTATCTGGTTTTAGCAGTTTTAAAGGGACTGGGAAGGGTAATCTATGTAACATTTTTTTTGTTATAACAAAATTGTGTTAGCCATATTTTTTTAACCTAAAATGTCTGAGTAACACATTTTTAAAAACCGAAAATTCCCGACAGCAAGTTAAATTAGCGAAACCACCGGCAAAATAATACAAGCTACCACAACGATCGAAAATTAATTGGGTTAGTAGGGCCGAGCGGGCAGAAAATAAAAAGAAAAATAAAGAAAGGTAAACAAAAGAAATATAGAATTTATAAAACCAAAAAACCGACCTGGCGATGGCAACGGCTTGCTGACCCCGGGGGATTTGACGGATTGTTCCGGAATCGGGAGCAATGGGGTGAAATCGATGCATTCGATGACGGCCGGCTGGCGGTGGGTCAGTTCTGGAATTTAGAGAATTTTAAAGTATTAAATAATTATTGTATTTAAATTTATATAAACTAAGAAAATTACTGTTACTATCGATACAATTGATATGTTACAACTTTCCTCACAAGGTCTGATTTGCAGAGAAGAAGTTGGAAAAATGTTTCCAAAACACGATTAATAAAAAAAAAGTTAAAATCAATTTAGTCACTTGACGTGAGGAACAAAAATTATTTTCCACATTTTTGACATTAAAACGGTTCGCAAATATACTCTGCTAGCCTGCCTAGCTTACAATTTTTAGGAAGAGATGTAATTTATTTATTTTTATAAATTTATATATTTGCTTTAGAGAGAATTTAGATATTCCAAAAATCGATGAAATGTTTCAACTATCTGCCATCTTTTTCTTTTCTTTTTATGACCAATTCGAGCCCCCCCTATGATCATCCGAAAATTAATAGTTTCAGGAAAAGTCTACCCAGAGGCAATTTAAAATTCGCCTATTAAATGTTAGGAAATGTAAGCTCGACTTAAAGTAATTTTTTACAAACCTTTAACGACACAGTCCTCATCGAGTTCTGTCTTGATTGCCTTCAATACTGGAATACCGGCCGGCTGGCTATCCGTCGAAATGACGAGACTTTCGTCTTGCCCTTGAACCCTGAAAAATCAACATATAGCAATTATTAAGAGACATTATATTTTAAATTTAGCAATTAAACCTATTGTTATTCATTTTTGAAAAGTCTGAAAAAATATGTTTCTCAAATAAAATTGTCTAATCTTCCCTCTAGCCTGGAATTGAGTAGCTTTCAGCCGGTAATAATATATTTTGAAAAAATCCTTAAATTCGCGTTTTATAATAAACACAATTTGGATTTCCAAATTAACCATAGCTCTAAAATATCGGCCATTAACTATATATAATTTGGTCGCGTATCTCTGTGTGTGTGTGTGTCCGGCGCCAGGAAGGGCTACTTTGCATAATTCTAAAAAATACAAATTTCCTCATTCTTGCAAGTTGCACGCGCGGGTGTGGTCGGATGAAGGGAGGGGTCCGAAGCACCCAAGCTATCGGAAAGTCAAATTTCTCATGCAAAGGCCGCATTCCAGCGCCCAATGCCCGCGAAGCGGGTTTTGGGCGCTGGTTAACTATAAAAAAACCAAAATGGGTAAATTCATAAAAAAAATGTTTCGATTCGCGCCGAGAAAAAAATTTTTCACACCAGTCAATGAAAGATTCGCTACTCGATTGCTCTAATGTCGCCCAAAAATAAATAGTCTATTTAAAAATTCATTAAATGGCGTAATTGTACAGAGAATTGGCATTGTAAAAATCGGTTTCAAAATATTATGGCAAGAAACATTTTATTTCAATGAGAATAGTCAGTTCCTCGATTCCAAAATCTTAAAATTAAGGTGAGTTGAAAATATATTAAATTTTTTGCATCGTTGCTGCCTTAGTTTATTACTTTACAGAGCACATAAATTTCGAAACGAACCCGAGTACGTGATGCAGACAGATGACATATTGTCCCTTTTGGCCACGGGTCGTGTGGTTGATCGTTGTCGCATCTGAAAAATGTCCAACTTACAAGCTTTCTAATGTAGAAATACAACTATATTTTTTATAGAATTAAATGGAGATTATACGTATTTGAAAAATATTGAAACAAATGATTGTTTGGCTAAAAGCTTATTTTTCAAGCCTTTACTTTTAACAGAGTTAAATAGGGATGCGATAAAACGGGCAAATTACGGCAATATATGTCTTTCCTTTGATCCATTTAATTTAAATGTTATCAAGCATGATGATTGACAGGTTAGATGATGCAAAAATTCGTCGAACCATAGAGATGTGGTTATAATTCTTTTTTGGCGAATCTGATGCTTCAAAATTTGACAAATATATTTTTGATGAAAGAAATTTAATTTGGGTTGGTTTGTGTGGAATAACAATTTTAATTTGTTGGCAAAATTAAAGCATGCTTATATTAATGTTGAATTTTGCGCAGGTTAATACGCGCAATCCTGAAACATACCGGTCATCACCCAGGCCAAATTATTGTTGGCGGCGACGAGACGGTAGAATGGCGTCCGAACGTGGCCCTTCGCGAACAGCTCGCGCATTGACTGCAAATGAAATTTTAGATTTTAATTTGAATTTTTATAAACGAGGCCTTATTAAATGTTTGATGCATTCCATGCAAAAATTTATTGTCATTCCGACGCGACAACACTTCCAGGACCCGAGAATTAAGCCTCAAAAAACATGTTTCACTAAAATACAAATACACCTATTTTTGCAGATCGCTAATTCCAGCTCGAAAACAGTAAAAACTGAACGCACGGTTAAAACTGGATGTCTCGCCAAAAAATTTTAATAAAAGACCACCGTTTTCTAGATAAGTATTGTGTTGCAGTTTGAAAATGCTAAATCCTGTAATATAATAAATTTCGGCGTTTTCAAAAGCGGGATTCGCCAAAACATAAGTAAACGTGGCTTTGGTAACGGTGAGAGTCCAGTAAGTAACTTCGAAAAACGATAAAAACTCGATGATGTAGCTATAAAATTTGTGTTTCGCCAAAAAAATTAAATAAACCATTGCATCTTATGGCAATGGATGTTGCCCTGGGCTAGAAAATGCTGGCATTAACGCTTGGAAATCATAAAAGTATTTAAAAAAATATACTGAAAAAACCTGGAATGGAAAAAGTATGATTCACCAAAAGTCAAAGAAACCATTGTCTGAATTTGTCAATATCACTGGGCTCAGCTGTTCCACCGCGCAAAAAAAACGATAAAAATTCATCTTTTTCGTAGGTTAATATATTATGTTGCGCCGAAAAATGCAGTAAAATGTCGCATTTTCTTAGCAATTCCAGGTATGCAAGTAATCCAAAAAAAACCTTGTGGACAATATGGGCATCTGATGGGTGGACGAGCTCGTAGAAGGAGGCACCCATCAATGATCGAGAATCATTCTGAAAAAAAGAATCCATATTCCGCAAAGAATCTCTGCTAGTTTGCCCCTAATTCTCGGCCGTTTAAAATACCTTTAAGATAAAGTTGAACGTGTCGGAGACGTAGCTGATGCGCATATCAGAGGTGTGTCGCGTCATGAAGGTGCCGTTTTGGGGCTCGCCGTCTGGAAAATATATGAACCTCAAATGATCTTTGCTAGATTGCCTTAACCTTACGTTTTTGTTAATTCTGCTAAATAAAAACAGCTATGGTTCAAGAGAACGTTAGCAAAAATTCAGTGAAAAATTTTGAAAAACAATGTTTCATGAAAACATAAAAATAAAGTTTGATTCCAGAAATTTATCAGTTTAATAGGAAATTTAAATTTAATCAGATAGCAATTAAATCGAACTAAATTTCTCACTTTTCGTTAATGCGTTGGCGGTAGCAGAGGGAGATCCCTGGCCAGCAGGGGTCGTGGAGCCTTGAAGGATCGAAATGGCATTCCCATCCGAGTGCATCACACGAACGAGGAAAGAGACCGGCTGGAAAAAGAATAAAGATCGATAATATAATATTTAACGTAAAATCTATCTTATTAAATCGATACTCTAACAGGTTAATGCAATTCAGCGGCTCTTGAAATAGATTTTTTTAAGAAAACGAAGCCCTAAAAAAGGCTAAACATTTAAATTTATAAAAAACTGGGAAAATCGATCCATTGAAAATGATTTTCAATTATGTATGTTATTTTTTTGGCATTAATGGTCACGACTCAAGCAAGAAGAGGTGGAAAATTATGCCTTGTCGGAACTCCAAATGATTAAGCCAAACAAAAGCTTCAGAGCGTCGCGAATTTTTGAAACACGGATTTTCAACAAATAAAATTCCACTACAATTATAACCCTATCGTTATAAATTAAAAACTAAAAACGTTTTGCGTTTCAAAGCTGCAAAATGCCCGAATTTCCGGTAGAAAAAGTTTTTCCCAAAACGTAGGTCTTTTTTGGAAATGATATATTTTAATTAGTGCTTTTTTCGGGACTACCTTATAAAGCGCTCCTTTGAGATTCAAATTTCTTCCTCGGGGCGATATGACAGTCTTCATTCTGAGGACAATCTGTTCTCCCACAGCTCGATCCTCCAATCCGGCCATTTCGGCCGATACCCGCGCGAACTCGTCGAAATCCACCGATTGCATAAAGTCGCGCATGTTGCGGCCGGTGAGGTCCGTCTGAAAAAAGGAAATGATGACCGTAGCAACAGTGGTAGATTAATGATATCAAACATCATTTTCCAAGATAATTTTTTGAAACACTTTTCCTGCGCCTTCGGGGTTTGTTTTTTATAATCTCGTATTTTCTTAAAGTTTTAAATTCAAAGTCTCGAATTTTAATAAAACTTATTGAAGGTCTGTTAGTCTGGTCCAAAGCCATGGGTAAAGAAGATATGCAAAATTACTTGCAGAACTCGCAATTTTTGATGCCCGATTTTCAAAAATTTGTAATTGATAATTTTCTTTATTTAATTTCGTGTTTTCTTCCGTATTTCTAATCTGTAATTTGAAAAGGATTAAAATAAGTTTTAAATACGCTATTTTCTGCTATTATATGCTTCCAATATTTCGGCCCCTAAATAATTTTCAAGGCGAGAAATGTTGGGGTGAATGAGTGGCGCTTATTAAAAAGCGAAGGCCCGAAAACGGCCCAAAAAAGCTTGAAACATTTTTTCACCATGCGTTCATCTAAAGAATGTCTCAGAACATCAATTCATTTTTGCTAGCATAATCTAGAAATGCTATAGGAAGCAGACGGTTCATTAAGGTAAGACTCCTGGTTTGACTACATCAATTCATGAAACACTTTAATTCTTGATCTTCGAACCTTCATGGGTTTTTTAAGGCCAGCATTGCCTAGTAACGTAATAGAAAATATTTTAGCATGTTTTAGTAAAAAATAACTATATTCCAAGAGGAAAATATCTAACAGCTTTAGAAAATTGTTAAGTTTTAGTGAAAATCGGCCATTTTCTTGGTCTAAATTCGATATTTTTTTACTTTTTTATTATAATTTTGTAGCGTTTATACGTTTGATAACCATATTTAAATTATGACAATCGATACCCCCCGATAATGGGAAAGTACCGCAATGGCGAATATAACCATCCGATTTTCCGTAATTTGCGATGTGTACGTAATGGAAATTGATTCCAAAAATCTGATCTGGGCTCCCCAAAATCATGAAACATAACACATTTTCCCCAAAATCGTTTTTTACAAAATCTAATTTTATCTTATCATTTGTGGATATAGTAGCTATGCGTACCTGCGTCAATCCGAGATACAGTATGACAGATTCGGAGGTGTACAGTATGGTGCCATCCGAATCGACGAGTAGCAAGAATCCATCCAGACATTCGAGGAGTGTCTCTTCATTCCACGGGCCATCCGACGGCTCCTTCCCGAGTGCCGTACGGAGTACTGAAATGGAAATTTTAATCACTTTGGTTAGAGATTGAATCGATGAATTGTATGCAGCCTAAAATAAAGAAGATTTCTGGGATAAACGTTATTTCGATTGCACGGCCGATTGCGCTTAAATCAAGTTCCGGATTACTGTAGTTTTTAGGAACATCTTTTTCGACAGTTTTTGAGCCTCACCTTCCGTTCCGCATTTTCGTAATCGACAAAAAGTGGCGGCCACCCGGAGGAGGGCTATCCGATCCACGTGGGTTACGGTAGCGTCGTGGACGATTGGCACCTCCTGAAATTACGTGGTGTAAGCGTTTTGTAACGTAAATGTTCAAAAATAATGTTGCGTAAAGTCGTTGCTTTCCAATTTTAGCATTAATGGCTTTGGAAGAAAGTTATGTGATCACATTTTTAGGCTAGATCCCTGGAATCCAAATTATTCCCTTGAATTTTTGCTAATGTTTTCTATTAAAATTTGGCGAAAATTCGTTAAATTAATACACCGGTAAATCGGTAAATTGGCACCTAACTAGCGCTGAAAAATCGCCCATTGTTTTCCCGATTATACTCATAAACATTTCCGAAACATTGTTCCAAAAACTCCGATCCCTTATTCAAAAAATTCTCGAAAATTCAGCCGATTCCCCCCGGGGGACATTTCATTATTAATGCTACGCGGCGGTCCTCTCAACGTCTAGTAACAGCTAGAGAGCGCAAGAGCGAGAGAGCGAGAGAGAGAGAGAGGGCGAGCGAGAGAGAAAGAGGGCGAGAGAGATGGCCGGTGAGCGATTGGGTGTTTGCCAGGAAATTCTCATTACGTATTCATTTAGCCCCACCCCATCACTCATCGAATATCCAGAGGGGGAAAGCGGGGTGAAAAAGAGATAAATTGACTGGGATGGTGACGATATTGAGGGCATTTCCGGGTTCAAAAATATTATCTCAAATTAAGTTGTAAAAAATAGGGTACCCGTTTATTAGCGGGGGAGGTAAAATGGAACTTTATACCTTTTGATAATATATAATACATAACTTAAACCTATCAAAAATATATAATGTATTTTATAGTGTATTTAGTAGTTTTTGAGGCCCAGGATTTTTTAGATTAAATGTTTCAAAAAACTTCGTAGGCATGAACATAAATTCTAAGGTAATTTTGCCTTATCATAGTTTTCTAGAAATAAGACAATTTGGTCCTTTTTAGTAAAACAATTCTTTTTAAAAAATGATAAAACATCCAAAAAAACGTCATCGACATCCACAATTTAAAAATCCAAATAAAAATGGACAAAATAACCCACATCTTTCAGGTCCTGGAAAATGTCGGCCTCCTTGCCGCGGCGGTCCCGAGCCGCGAAACGAGATGTCTCCCGCCGTTTTTCGATATTTCTGAAGTAAATATGAATTTTTATTGTCGAATCACTATCCTGCAACATTATCTGTTTTGACTCATGTCTAACCTTAGTTTTTTCTAAAACATATTTTTTCAATGTAGCCACATGAGATTAGAAAATTTCGGGAATTTGCTAAATATTTATGTTTCCTAGAAGTCAATGACGCTAGGTAAGTAGAAAAGCATAATGGTAAATCGAATTGGATTTTGGCAGATTTCGGCAGATTTCGGCTTCATACAATTTTCCTAAATTCACCAACTTTCTCAAAAGGTTTTGTCTGCTTTTTCGCCTGGTAAAGAAGCCCATTTCGACAAATGACCACTGCTAGACTCCTTTCCCTCCATTTTCCACAAAGAATCTCTGCTAGCTCGCCGAAAATTGTGCGATTTTACTATCATTTTCTTTTCCTTTTTTAAGTTTCACAAAAATCGGTCATATAATTCCGGATCTTTTGTGTAATGACGCAGAGCTCGGACTATGAATTCTGCTCTTTCCCAAAGAATATTTGCTAGCTTGCCCTGGACAATTCATCGAATAGGCTTATTCATTTCCCCCAATTGCCACTGCTAGCCTGCCCCAACTTGAGTTAATCTTCCACAAAGGATATCTCACTCTCTCTCTGCTCGCTCTCTCTCTCCCTCGCTCTCTCTCTCTCTCGCTCTCTCTCTCTCTATCTCTCTCTCGTTCCCTCTCTTGCTGATTGATTTTTTCCTGGTCCCTTTAAAGTCAAAAATGTATTTTCGAAAGCATTTATTTCCCACCCCCGATGGCGGGATTAATTTTCCGACCCAAAAAGGGGGACGCGTGAGTGGCCAAAAAATAAATTTGCTCCCTATAATCCCTCTCTCGATCCCCCACGCCAATTTGCCATGAGAGGGAGAGGGAGAGAGAGAGAGACACACACAGAGAGAGTGAGAGAGTGAGAGAGAGAAAGCTGTTATTCCCAGTTTCTAAACCCCGTGGTTTGGTTCTAATTTGTCGGACGATGAACCGGTGTGGGAAATTTGGTACATAAAATAGATTAAAGTTCATCTACCCAATCCAATTACGCTATGAAATAACATATCCTTAACACAAGCCCCTTGATCGCTTTAAATTAAAATGTTACCGTTTTCTGCAGTCCTCATTCTCCTCGTACATCCCTTCCGGATGGGCTCCCCGGGGTATTACGTCCAGAGTAGTCACTTGGAATCTGCAAAAAATAGGATTAACCCTGGATAGATTGAAGCATCGACTTCATTCAATAAAAAATTGCAAGGTTAGAGAGAGAGAGAACGAGAGAGAGAGAGAGAGAGAGCGAGAGAGAGAAAGGGAGAGGCACACACAGAGATATGCCCAAACATAAAGGATTGCCATTTCCAACCGCAGGTGACATTTTGATGAAAGCACGAGGCTATTTCACGCGTCATTAATGCAATAAAACCTGTGCTTAAGATCATCAAATATTTTGAATATCAGCAAAAATTAGCAAGTTATTTCACACCGGAATAATGCTATAATAGCGAATTTGGGGAAAAATCTGTTTTAATTCGGACCAAATAAACTGCCGAAAAGAGACAGAGAGAGCCAGAGTGAGAGAGAGCGAGAGAGCGCGAGGGAGAGCGAGAGATACAGATATACGGACAAATATCAAAAAAAATCCGCATCAAGTTTTTGAAAAATATATATTTCAAAAACCTGTGCCACCGTCTTAAAAAAAATGTTTCTTAATTTATTGCGACTGCGTGAAATAACCAGCATTAATTCCAAAAAAATAGTCGCTTAAGGGGCTATTTGGCTGGTTGTGGATTCTGCATGAATTAAATCGGCAATGCCCGACGCGGCGCAATTGAGATGGCGCGTCGCGTGTCGTGTCGCGCAACAATAAATCCGTAGCCAAGCCTTGTCCGGGCCTTTAGAATGGCGAAAACAATCTATGGCTTTTGAAAGGCCCCCGACACGCGACGCACGTCAATTAGTCCTAATCAGTTACGCAATCGAAATATCTCAATGCTAATAAATTGATAGCAATGCCTTGCCGGGTCCTTTAAACCGACAAAATGACCGGCCGAAAGCTGATGATCAATAGAGAGGGGGTAAAGTGGCTGAATGGGGGAGTGTTTGGGTGGGTTGAGAGCATCAATTCTTTTGCCCATTTCCGATACGATCCAATCGACACCCCCCGATTCCATTTCCCCTCGTTCGACGATACCCCCCGAAAAATGCTCTTCCCATCGCATCCACATCCACCAATTGGGGGAGTGTCGATGGATGCATGGTGTGAAAAATGCCGACTCCGAATGCCGACCCGCAAAATACCGGCAGTGAGCGTAATTGGAATGACTTTTTAATAATTAATTTGGGGCACAGGATTTTGACTGTCGGTATTTTGAATGTCGGCATTTCGAAAGTTGAACCTTTTAAACAAACCTCGAATCACCGAATCATTAAAAAATCTTTGGCCGGTTCCTCAAAAACCATGAAACTCAATCTTTTAAACGCCCGTTTTTTGCTTAATATTGTTAATCAATTTGTGAAATATATTAGCAAATTGTAAATGGAAATAACGCATAGATTAAATAGAATGAAATTCCGTTAAAAATATGAATCAGCGTCGCTCCGAGTCAGAGGGGGTCCAATGAATGGAGCACATTTTTGCAGCATTCAAAAGCATCTGCAAGGCGGTAGAAAGCGAGGGAGTGAGAGAGAGAGGGGGACAGAGAGAGAGAGAGAGAGAGAGGGAGGGAGAGAGAGAGAGAGATCGAAAGAGACAGGCAGAGACATAGAGTGGCCAAATTAAACGGGGAGCCCCCGTGGCGAGTCGCGAAACTCTCCGAGAAAATTGGATTTTCTCCCCGGTTGGTCTTTCGACATTTGAGAAGGGGTGGGGCGGGGGAAAATGATGTGTTTCTCATAGGGAAATGTTCAATTATCAAGAAGAAGACATTCATATAGTAAAGAATAAATAGTAAATCTAAATTTTATTAAATAAAAATAATCATTCTTTCGGTGGTATAGAAACGCATGGTTTAAAATATTAAAAATAAACCGAAAATAATGGTTAAAAATAGTTAAATCGGTAAAAATAAGTACAGCCAACCTCTAGGAGGATGGGGTGGCCAGAGGGCCCTTTAGCGGGGGGTGATCGATAGACTCAGAGAGGGGGTATTTGCGATTGAACAGGTGAGGGAAATCAATCTCTCTCTCTCTCTCTCTCTCTCTCTCTCTCTCTCTCTGGCTCTGTCTCGTCCAATCCGCCGCTCCCGGCACAAAGTCGCACATTTTGGAATTTGAGCTGAAGGCAGGCGAGCACAGCTTCTTTGAGAATTGAATACATGGGTAGGCTAGCAGATAGTCATTGGGCAAGATAGCGTAGAACATTAGAGAATTGTGGTCAAAACTATCAGGTTGGATAATAAGTTCTGTCACATTTTTTTGGAAAAGCTGGTTAAAGCTGCAGACGTGCCCAAATTAATAGTGTGATATATGGTTTGATAGGTCTCCTCGAGCTCTACCTTGGGTAGACGCTCCTCGCACCCAAAAATTGAGAGTCGCCGAGATAGAGCTTCCACAAGTTTTCCGCAAAATCGTATCAAACCTATTTTGCAAGCTATCTCTGCATAGAGCAATTTGCATGCGATACCTTTAACACCAATAGATAGCTTTCGAGGAGTAGATATCGATTGATGTTGAGATCATCAAAATCGGACATCGGATGGCCGAGATACGACCCCTTGAAATTTGGCCCATTTCTTAGAACTTTTCCCAAAATCCCATACATTTGGTCAAAATGCGCTCGGTTCTTTTGAAAATCAAGCGGTCAGTTTAGGCTGCGGGCTATCAAATGTATGGGATTTTGGGAAAGCGAAATGGGCCAAATTTCAAGGGGGTCGTATCTCGGCATCCATGTCCGATTTTGATGATCTCAACATCCATCGATATCTACTCCTCGCTATCTATTGGTGTCAAAGGTATCGCATGCAAATGCTCTATGCAGAGTACTTGCAAAATAGGTTTGGCACGATTTTGCGGAAAACTTCTCGGGCCTGTATCTCGACGTCCCTCAATTTTTCTGTCAACTGAGGCCCCTCCCAGAATAGGGTTTTGTGAGACCTATCAATCCATACCTCATACTCCAGAATTGGAAACATCTGCGATTTTAACGAGCGATTTCAAAAAATTGTGACAGAACTTATTATCCAACCTGATACACAGCCAAACAAACCAAAAACTTTCAGACTTGGAAAGGCATGGTAGGCTAGCAGAGACCCTTTCGGATTTTAGCGAAAAACTTAGCTAGCAGAGATTCTTTAGTAAAGGGATACTAGCAGAAGCTATTTAGAAACGGCATAGCAGCGATTCTTCGGGAATTTTGGCGAGGCAGGCTAGCAGAGATTCTTCGGGAAGTTCGAACTGGAGGGCATGCTAGCATTGGTCCTTTGAGCAAATGCAGAGGGCAAAGGGAGCAGAGAGCATTTGGGAAATGCAGCAATAAGACAGCTGGTAGAGCTTCACTTGGAAAAAACTATCAAAGGAGGCAGGCTAGCAGAAACAATTTAAAAACGATGAGGGCAAGCGAGCAGAGGCCATTTCGGAAAGCACCAAAAATCTGGGAAGGACCTCCCTTGGCAATTGCGGAAGTTATCGGTGGCTTTTAAAGCGTAAAGTTGTAGTGCAATGGGTGGGTGTCAGTTGACAGGGAAGAGAGAGAGAGCGAGAGAGCGAGAGAGAAAGTGCAAAGAACGAGCAAGAGGTCAGTGCTGCCGACTGGAGGGGGAGATACACAAACAGATCCATCTCTCTTCTCAAGGAGATAAGTTTGCAACAAAGTTCCCAGTCCATTCCAAGTCCGTCCCGCACAAAACAATCACAACAACAAAGGGGCGGGGCATTCCTAAATGAACTCTGCTCGATTGCCCTAGGAAGTGAAATTCGTTCCTAAACAGTCTCCGCTAGCTTGCCTGGGACTAGGATTTCAGGCAACGGTCCTCAAATGATCGCTGCTAGATTGTCGAGGGAAATTTCCGTAAAATATCTGCTAATGAGCCCGTTATTAGTCCATTCGGATCCGCAAAGGATCACTGCTAGCCTGCTTTTCCCCCAAAGAAGCCCTGCTAGCTTGCTCTCTTAATCTGCCCAAATGACCGCTGCAGGTCTGCCTCCTTACTTTCCCTAAAGATATCTGCTAGCCTGTCTCCCTAATTTTCCGAAAGATAATTTGCTGGCCTGCCCGCGCTTCTTTTGCCAAAGAATCCCTGCCAGCCTGCGCTCTTAAGCTTCCTAAATGATCTCTGCTAGCCTGCCCGTAATTTCATCTAATATTGGTGCATTAATGATAACCCCCTTTCCCAAATGATCGCTGCCAGCCTGCCCTCCTTCTCGATTTCCCCAAGGAACCTCTGCTACTTTCTCATTACTTGAGAATGTTTTACTTCGATATTTTATACATCGACTAGCTCGGAACTTGAAATTATCGCACACTTCCAATCCTTACACCCCAAAATTCCATGAAACATTGTTTTGCAAAAATTCTCCGTCATAATTTCCCGCTTCCTAAATAGCATCCCTTTTCGAGATACGTTACCCCCTAAAATGGCGGATTACTGTAGGTGGGGCATCTCTCCATTTTTGGAGAATCGAAGAGATGGGGTGATGGAGGGATTAACGGGCGGAAGGAGCCGAGACCTGACCGGAATTCCGGAGTGCACCGGAATATACCCAAATGCCGTCAACAGGAGCCACGCGTAGTGTTCAAGAAAGAGGGTATGTACTTTTGGGAATTGTAGAGATGAAGAAATGCCATAATTAAACATTTCAAAGTATTTAAAAATCGGCAGCAGGAAACAAATGAAATGGCGTCATTTTTAAGTATTTATAGCGTTAAAAATTACGTTAAAAATCATGGTCTAACTAGATTAAATACTCCAGGAAATGTCGATAATTTTCAGGGTTTAAACAATTACGCTAGGTAATCCTGGCCTTAAAATGCGCAATTTTCCCAGAAATACATTACTTCAATTAAATTTTATGTCGATTTTTGCCATAGAAATTCCCGATATTTTTAAGGCATTAGGCTATACAAAAAGAGCTTAAAACAAGGCATTAGTTTAGAAAACAAAGTGGCCAATCGAAAAATTATATTTTTAGTGGATTATCAAGAT